CTGCGGCACTTGTGCATCGAACTGCCGGCAGCCACTCCCAGTGGACATGGCCATGCATTCATGTCCTCGTCGTTCCTTCCTTTATCCTTCTTTCCTCCCCGCCCCTGCTCGCTGTGTGCGAGCATGTGGAAGTAACAGTTTAGCGCTTAAACATGCCCAAGTTGCGCTCCACTTAAGTGTATATGTATACTATATAATTGAGCGTGTGTTTGTTGTTGTTGCTATTCAGTATGTGTGTGTGTGTGTTTTTGTGGCCAAAACTTTCACTTTTCTTCATTGAAGTGCTTGGCACACATTGCTCTTAAAATTACATTTTCGCGCATTTCTCTAACAAAACAAAACAAACCCGATATTTTGTCTGCTCTTTTTGCCACTTTTTTCTTAGCCAAGCAACGCAATTTGCACAGTTAACGGTACACAAAACAAACAGCTGCTTTAAACGTGAGCGATTAGATAGTAGCATCTATTATATAAGTACATACTATCCCTACATAAGCAGGGCAGTTAGGATAAGGAAGGGCGGGCGGAGCAGGTTAGGGCTTAGGTGATGGCTGGGCGGAAGGAAGCTTTTCAAATGCAAAATGATAAATGCATTTTTAATGGAGAAAGCGCGACAAAACGAAGGCGCATGAGAAGCAGAAAATGCGGGGAGAGCAGACAAGTAGTATAATGCCAGAATTTAACAAACAACTTCCTGGGCCAAAGCGAAGAGGACATTGCCGGATGAGTTGCCTAAGGATGCGCAAACGAGCGATGAATGCGAGAGGCGTATCGTCCTTTTCAATTCAATGTCCCTTTTGCTGTTGTTGTTGTTGTTGCTGCTGCTTCTACTGTTGCTCAGAGTTTAAGGGTTAACAGATGATTAAGCTAATATTTCACATTTCGGGCTTGCAAGCACAGCAGCAAGTAAAGGTGTATGACTCATTCAAAAGAAGAAGCAAAAACACTCTAATTAACACAGCATTTTCTTTAAAGTGAAAGGATAACAACGGTAATAATACCCTTAAGCGAATACACAGAAATCCATCTTTTTTATAAGGCTCAGAAACTGATCAAAAGTGATTATAGTGATTGTCTTTACACCCAATAGTTGCTATGGATATGATTGTGTTTAATTTTAAAAATATATTAATTAAAACGCTTTAATTGTAATTACACAGGAGACATGCAAATTTTAAAAGAATATTGAAATCGATATTGCAAAAAATAATATAAAGGGTGAAAATAAGAAAAAAGATTAAAGATAAACCACTTCTGATACGAAATAAAGAGAAAAGCCCGTTGCAGGACTAAAAATTCGAAAAATATAACTTGTTCTTAAAAGTTTCTTTACCTATCGAACAAAAAAGCTATAGGAGCTGGCTTGCCATTGCAATTACAATTAGGTTAAAGAAAGGAAAAGGATAAAAAAAAGTATAATAGTAGAAGGGTTTTAAACAAGTTAGGGATCGACATGTACGTCAAAAAGAAACTTCAAATTGATCTCATTGGATATAGACGCCGAATTAGGAGACTGCAGCCTTTCTACTTTTCGTTATATATGCAAAAGGAAATTGGAATAAAGAAACATTAACTTGCTGAAAAAGATTGCTGACTCTAGCCAGGAATTCTACAGAAATCCATGCTTTTATACAATACTACGGACGGATAGATAATTTTCTTTATTAAGCTAATTAAGAAAATATATCCTACACTTCGTATATAAAGTAAGAAAAATATGAAGTAATAGGTATTTGCATAATTTTGTATTCTCTGACAAATACAGATTAGTTATTTACTTTTTGTAAGTCAGTGGACTTTGCAAATAATTGATTTGAAAATCATTTTGTTTCCCCATTTAGATGTATTTACTGTACTTTATTACTTGCCAGATAAACGAGCTACGCATGATTAACAAATTTTTTAGGGAGTAAGAGTGTATGGAGAGCAAGAATAATATTAAGTAATAGGTATTTGCACAATTTTGTCTTCTCTGGTAAAAAGGCATTACTTATTCGCATTTCACATAAGGCAACTGATTGTACAAGTATATAATTGATTTGAAAATCATTTTGTTTCCCCATTTGGAACTGCTCACTGTACTTTATTACTTGGCATATAAACGAGCTACACATGTTTAATAAATTGTTTGGATCAACAAAAAGGTCAATTATTTTAGAGTTGGCTCCTGCATATGCAATCAACGCTCTAATGTATGCAACAATTTGCAGCAACATTGCCGCTACGTTGCGCCTTTTCATTCATTTAATTTCAGGGTTTTTGGATTGCTGTTCATTTTATTATGATGCCAACGCCAAAACTCAATTTAATCAATATTCCGGGCATACACGCCGCACAAACATTTAATATAGCAACACAGATATAACACACACACACACACACACGCACACACACTCACAAACATACTAAAAATATGTAAAAGAAAAAATGTTGCTAAACAAAAACTAAGCGTACGTGCGCCTAAAAGCGTGCCTCCCAAATTGAAAATAAAGCCAAACGCAACACCGAACGAAACAAAAAAGCGCCTGACCATTTTAATTTGGTAAATTTTTATGAAGCAAAGGCATTTTGTATACATTTACAAAACCCTTTTAAAGCCCGACAGCGTCAAAAGAGTGGTGAATGGGGAGCGGACGGGCAGGAGGCTGTCTTCCAGCCGGACAGCATGAAAATGAAAAATTGCCGGCGTAGTTGCAGCGTTCCATTGAGGTGTGATAAGCTAGCCATATGTATAGCGTTAGATATCGATATTGTGTGGCATGTAAAGTTCAGCATAGTTGAAAAATAGTTCGCTTCGCAATCAATTCAGCATAGAAGGGATGAAGTAGACTGGAAAAGGGAAGGGGAAGGGGAGAGGGAGGCCAGCAGCCATGGCAGCGAATTGAAATTTATGAACAGCTGCCAGCCATAACGAACTATATAGACTGAGCGGGAATACCGAGCCATAAGTTAGAATCCGCAGTGAGGGAGTGTGTGGGAGTGTGCGGCAAATGTGAGTGGAGGGGGGTAAGGACTTGGCCTAAGTGGGCAATTGAAATAAGCTGCTGATGAGCAGCACTCTCTAATGCAGGTTGTTTAAAGTGCTCTCGAAAGATGCCGAGTTCCGGCCAAATAAAACAGACACCCTCTCTCACATACATAAGTACAAAACAAATCAGCCATTTGAAACTAAAGTATGTCATTGAGAAAATTATTGCCAGAATTATATATGTATATTAATCTTGTAACGGAGACCCCCATTAGGTTTATTATGGGTCGTGCTAATGGACAAATTTCGGAGGCAAACATTGTATTAATATAAAATGCCGATACTTGGATTTTAAAAAAACGCTCTAAAATTGAAATTTTTATAAAATGTGGAACACATTTCAGTAAGTAGAAAAGGAAATCTTAAATTTATTTTCATTATTTTTCATAACCTCTATGGGTTCTTACGAATATTTATCCATTTTGTTCAATTAAGTAGAAAAGTCAGTTGCTTGTACTCTTAAAATTAAGATATCATTACCTCCCTAAATATCCAATATTGTAAAAAAAAGTGAACAAATTGAAATTAAAGTTTTCGTACATTTCTGTGAATGCCCACCCAGCAGCCTGGAAGAATTTGAATAAATCCTTTGGTCTTTTTGTGGATACAACTGAGAGGTTCCGGTGGAAGCAGGACTGGTTAGTCGCAGAAGAGATGGATCACCATTTCGTCCTCTTCCTAAGCTCTGGCTGAGGCTAAAAATTCTTAAAGCCATTCTTTTAATTGTATAAAAATTTACATTTGTATTAAATAATTGTCTTGTTGTAAAAAGATACGCTGATGTTTTCAATTAGAATATGTGTTTAATTTTAAAATGTTTACCCAATTTGTTTTAAACAAAATTTAAGAATCTCTGGTGAAGAAACCTGATATTAAGAAATTAAAATTCTACAGTTAGAAGAAATCAGTCTATTTAGTGTAATTAGCTGTTCTTATATCCCAATCCGTCTGAAATTTAAAGATGAAATAACGAAAGCTAAGAAAGCTATTCTGAGAACTGACTCTTTTAGTCTAAAGAACCCAGTCTTTAGCTTCTTAGAGCTAAACAATAACGAAAAGCAAGAGAGCCTGACGGTTTTGTATTTTTTTTAATTTTCCAAGCAATGCAGTTTTCTTTTGTTTTCTTAGCTTGTAACTTTTCCACAAGTCTGCAGAGATTTCCTGCTTTTATTGGCTTCTAATTGAAATTGTTTCTCTCTACACCATCCGCACGAGTACTAGCTTGCCATAAATTGATCATATTTATATATTTGCTTAAAGTTTGCGCACGTTTCAAAGAAATATAACCACATGGCTTGAAATAAGGTGGCTTCATCATTTTTGAGTATAGTATTTTAAAGCTTATATGGAAATATTTGTTTTCAAACTTAAGCCTGGAGGGGCAATATTTTATTGCCTCTATTCAGTGATAAAATTGTAAACAATTGTTAGCATCGCCTTTACTCGCCTGTTCAGAGTGTGAAGTAACACCAGTACCGCCATATTTACGTACTCGTAAGCTGTTTCCCATAATCCTATGTGACACAGTGGGGATTTGAACACAAACAACCATTTTGTACTGGCTCTGGTGAATGTGTGCGCCAAGTGGATGGAGCCTTCTCTCATACCTTTTTGTGTATTTTCGACGGCGTGAGGCTTTTATGCAGGTAATTGCTTTAGCACATAACAGCACCATTTCCTCAATGCTTCCCGTTGGCCCCGCCAAAGCCTACCCAACCCATCCGAACTAATTCCCATTCAGCGGCAACTTCCCGCAAGCCATGAGTTTATTGCAACGCACAGGAAATTGGCAGAAATTTTATTTTGATGTTCCGCAATTTCAGTTTTGAATGCCTAATGACTGCATTTGTGGCAAAAAGCGTTGCGCAGCCCTTTGTTATGCACAATATATAGTACACTATACTATATACTATATAGTATATAGTATATCGTGAAAGCGAAAGCCCATAAATGAGATAAATACGCAGACACATTGATTTTTACAATGCTAACGATGTATTTTTGGTGCATAATTTTGTGGCCGCATGCCAGCCGACACGACGACTAGCGACTAGACCCTTCTCTGCACTAATCAAATGTTTCCCGTACGGAGCAGAGTGCCTTGTACTTCCGGTTCGGACCGGTTGCGCAGTTCACAGCGCGCAAATGATAGATCGGCTGTTCGCACACAAAGTCCTTGGCATAGTTGCAGGTTATCTTGAGGAACGTGATTCCCTTTGTTATGTAACGCACGGCAGCACATCCCACATGCGAGTTACTCTCCAAGGCCATGACCGCAAAGTGCCGATAGATTCTATAATAGAGATGGGGGCGTGAGTTGTGATCATGTGAAGAAAGTTTTTTAAAAAAAGTTCCTAGTTAAAAAGCTCACTAAATGTCATCGAAAGAATGGCAATTTGGAGTTGCAGGCATATTGGAATTATAAAGGTTTGGCTACTTAATGAGATCTATTCTTCAATGAAACTTTCCTATCACAGAAGTAGTCAACTAAATTTAAAAAAAAAATGTTAGTTGTTTGAAAAATTAGCACAATTTAAAAAACTTGTACATTTTGGATGTCCTAAGTAATACTCTTTGCTATTTTTTTATAACTCAGCCTATTTTTTTTTTGCAAATGAAGCAAATATGTTGATTGCTTTAAAAAAATAAACAATAATCGTTATTCATATTTGCAATAGAATAAAAGGAATAAAATACGCTTTGGTATAGCTGTTAGAAGAAAATGCGTGAGTCAGCCTTGAATTTAAGGATTCACGCACACTTCTCTATTTGAAACTGTCAAATTTAAAGGGAAGGCCACTTACTGCTGCTTCTTTTTGTCGCACGGATATGCCTCCAAGTAGGACATGCTCATATTATTGTGTTCACTCCACCACGTGCGCACACCAATCGCAATCAGTTCCGGCAGCAACTTGGTCAGCATCTCGTCGTCTATATGTCTCGTCATGTTAAAGACAATAATATTCTGACCCGATTGTGTAAAGTTGTGCGTGTTGCGACAATCGTCGTGCTTCGCCTGACACACCCGCACATTATAGCTGGCCAACATGGCCAGTTCCTCGCTCCAGCGCATTGCCACGAGGCGTGCCGCACGGGGCAATGAGGTGTTCTTGCCATTAGCGACACGATTGCGACGCTCATTATGCGCCTTCAGGATCTTGTCTGCGAACTCTGTCAGATTTGCCAGACGTGTCTGTTCCGGTGTGCAGGATTTATGAAATTCCTGAAAGGGATTGGAATCGGTGGCACGTTAGATTTCTGCCCTAAATATGAGGCCATCACTCACATTCGGGTATTTCTCACAGGCCACATGTCGCTTGCCCTTGGGGCACAACAGTGGCTCGCAGTGCGGATTGTTGGAGCCGGTTAGCAACCATTTGCTCGGCTGCCTAGTTGACGCCTCAGTCGACTTGTTGGCCAAACTAACAGGCAGTCCGATGGCCAGCAGCAATAGCAGGTATTTCAATTGTTTCATGTTGGAGCCGCACTCACTACTAAACAGACGAACCACATTTCCCCCTTTTATAGTCTACCTGCAACTCATTCTGTTTGCCAAAACAATTGAAAATGCTCCGGGAGTGGAAAACAGATGTGCGTGCGATTGGCGATCAACAATCGAGAGCCAGCAGGCAGCTGTTTTTCTGCCGATGACTTGCCCATGGTATGCTAGAAATCACTTTTTAACAATAATAAAAATACACAACTACTATTTCTAACTGACAATTGCTGTATAAAGAAAACAAGAATGAAAGTTAAAAAGCTGTCCTCTTTAAAAAAGAAACACATTAGATTGAAATAGGTTGAATAAGCTTTCGGAGGATTATATACAAACAACTAATGGTTTTTAAAAGTTGGCATCCAGATTCTCCTAGGTCCGAGTAAGGACGAGTTTATTTTTTTTTTTTTAATTTCCCCCCCCTTCCCCCGCTACAGAATAGCGTCCACATTTCAAATGCTACCTAAACCAAACTTTGCACACACAATTCATATATAATTGTCTACTGGTGTTCAAAATTTTTTTCAATTCGGTCAATTCTAAGAAAAGTTATTAGCGAAACAAATTTTCGCCAGTACAACCCCCACAAACTGCAGCAACAAGTTCGCTCTTCTTCTTCCTCTTTTTGCTGCTGCTATGGGCGCATATAACTCAGTGACGGAAGTTTACCTGGGTACAGGGTATTACACTGTCGGGCTTGCTCGACTGTAGCGTTCTCTCTTGTTCTTTTACATCGACTGCATTGTTTGTCGATGAAATAAATAAATAAATAAAATAAATAAATAAAATCTTAAGTATGATTTGATAAAAAAAACTTGTCAAAACTTCTTTTCCTAAGGCTATATAAAATAATCATTACTCCTATTCATTTAAGGATTGAAGGTGCATGTGCATTCTAAATAAGTTACTGGACAGTGAAGATAACAAAATATTGTATTTATTACAAGCTAAAAGACTTTTTGAAGTATAATCAGCATTTATTTTACCCAAAACAGATTTAAAAGATATTCAAGCAACAGTTGAAACACTGTTTTTAATAAAGAATTCAATTTCAAACAGTTCTTTCCTTCTCCGTAACCTTTACTTTTTCACTCATATTATCATCATAAATTGAATGGATCGTGATTTTAGTTTCCTTACTGAAGTATTCCCGAGTCGTAGTAACTGGTTAGGTTACATTGTTCGTCAACAAATGCCTTTATAGTTTTTTGCTGAGCTAATTCAATGCTATATAGTTTCTGACCCACCTTAATATCGGTATTGTAGAGGCAAGCGAGTAATGTGTGCGGAATGTTGTCTCTCTCGAAATAAATTATGCCACAACCCACGCGATTCACCTTATCATGAACAATATTCAAAAAATTGATGCTTTTGTCAATGGCGTCACTAGACAAGTTTTCTATATCTCCTGATTGCAAATATCTATACTCGAAGTGCCAATCCTTCATAATGTACATTACTGCCTGTGGAAGAGGTAATGTCACATTTGTGAGTTCGCCAAGACTCTGGCCAACATGTGGATAGTTTTTTGTGTTGGCACATTTGTGCGCAGTCTGGTAGTCGCAATTATTGACAATACGAATCGCCAGAGACGACAGCTGTTCATCCCACGTTATTGGACCCAGTCTCTGGGAAGGAAGTAATTCACCCACAGATTTGTGCGTCATATGCCAGCGTATCCTGTTATGGAAACAGACAATCAGCTCCTTCAACTCAGCCATGTTGTACCCTTGACGATGCGGTGGACATGAGGGACCCCACTATATGAATTTCTAGATCGATTATTAAGTTCATTATTGTATTTCGTTTGTCTGATACTCACAAATTTTTTGCTACAAGCCACATGCTTCTCTCCTTTTGGACATAAATTTGAGCAGCAAAAGTTTTCTGGTCGTTTCGTTATTGGATAATACTTTTTGGGCTTATAATTTGGCCATTTTGTCCTGAAGCTGCCCCATACGTTGGCATTTAATTCTTGTAGGCTGCAAATAAGTAACAAGAATACAGATACCTTAATTTTCTGCATGCTAAGCAATCTCTTGAGGTACGGACCTTCATCAATACTGAGTGCAGTTCTGCAGCATGAATATTTCAATTTTCCACACAATTCGACAACTTAATACAATTATCTAATTGAAATTTTATAGTGCAAGAGTGAAATATTACTAGAAAAAGTAAACACCAAAACGCATGTTAACCTTTTATAAGAATTTATAGACGTAAACCATTTTCCTGTAGAATGCCGTCTTACATTTGAAATAGTATTGAAATTATTATAATTGAACAATTTTGATAGCACTAGTTAACACGTTTAAAATATATTGACCCTCTCAAAGTAGTAAACAATGATTGTTATCTAGAAAACCAGTGACTAAATAAAAGCGTCGATATCTGCGCTTTTATTTTGTTATTTTAAAAAAGTTTATTTTCTATGTAACGCTATTAAACATTTATTTCTTCTTTTTAATAGATTTGCATATAGATGAAAAGCCGAATTTATTTGAATAGTCAATTGTTAAATATTAGAGTCAGAATGTCAGTCAAGTATGAGTAGTTTTTTTTTTATATATATATTTTTTTAATTTTAATAAATAAGTCTGCGGATTTAGGCAATAATATAACATTTAACTTACATATGGGAGACCAAAATCACTTTAAAGTAGTGAACTATTTGAGATTATTTTTGCCATAGAAAAAAATAGAGAAATAGAGAAAATTGAAAAAATAAATAGAGAAAAAGTTGAATAATTATGTTAAGTCGCCTATCCACTTTCGATCCTTAATACTAATAATAATGCACCTAAACAGTTCTTTATGGATATAAATCTGTTCATTTATGGATATATGATTTTTAAAAATCCTAAATCGCAATCTTTTTCAGGAAACGTTTCGTTCTTACATTTTATTTAAGGAGGACTCATTTCTATTGTGCATTTTTACTAGTAACTAGATAAATAGTGGCTTACCAAATATAAATACTTGTATTAAAATTTAAACTGAATATGGCTCTTTTCTAAGATAAACTGAAATATGATAAGATTTAGGAAACGTTTTAAATTGAGAGCTTGAGGAAACGCAATCCAATGATTCGGTTGCCACATCTGAATTTATATTTCTATTCAATCATCTTTGCATCGATTCATAGTTCATCTCTCCAACTGCGTCATGAGCTCATTTTCAAAAGTATTTTGCTTTCTAACAGTGTTTGATTTACTTTGACTCGCACTTAAAGGCTTTACTTGAGGAACTACTCCATATATAAGCCTCATTAAGTCGGTTTGAAAGCATATCGAATGGCATGCTAATTGCAATTCTCCCCCACCGTTTAATTCTCTTATGCCAATGGCATTATAGCGCGGCCTCACGTTTATCAAAAGCATCGACAAGTGGGGTCCAATTGCAATTGGTTCGCAGAACCACGAATATTTTGGCCTCGTTGCGCGGTTGTGTTCAAGTGGTATGGCCACCATGTCAATGACATTTGCAGAAGCCCACATGGAATGTTTATCCTCAAAGGCGCCACGCCACCACAGCCCCTTGACTCCTCTCGCATATAACTCAATAACGGGCAATTGATTAAGGAGACACCGACTGTGCTGCGATGTCTGGCGCGAGATGCTCGGCTTATTTGCGTAATTGCTTTTACAGAGCTCTGGATCTGAACTGCTTAATTAGCCACATCGTCTAAGCCATGAACGTGGCAATGGCGGGCCCAGGCATGCATGGGCGGGCTTTGGCGACTGCTGCCATGACGCTGAGCTGGTTGAGTGTGGGTATTTGTCGAGTTAATGGTAGCTGTCTACGATTTCACAAAGTCCTGTTATACGTTAATATTTAAATCGTAGCTTAAACAAACATTTTTAGTTCAATGGCACACATTCCGATTGGGTCAATGCCTGCTGCCGACTGCCTGCCTGCCTGCCTGGGGATACAAACAAAATTTTAACTCAAAGTTGAAATGTGTTTAGAACGCAAGCACGTTTCTGAGTTGTGTTTTGAATATTTGTGAAGAGCAGCGCATAAATTTAACGTAAATAATATGCCAGGCGTCGTTTCAATGATGCGTATATAAGTAGTATGTACAAATGCATTTAAATAATGTTGACCTAATAATACAGCTACTTATGGAATTTACATTGAAAGGATATAAGTAAGTATTATTCTAAAAAGGCATTTTCAAATAATGAATGAAATGCATCGCGTCATCGCAACAAAACACAGACCGATGTCACACCAAAGGAATTATCAGGTATGCTAATAGTTTTACGAGTATTTCTAGAATATAATGTTACTTCAATGAAAACAACCTATTTATTTATTTATAGTTAACAAAGCAATGCTAACTTTTAAAAAGAAAAAGAAATAACAAAAAATCTTACAAATATACAAAAGAATTTAAAATATTTCAACTATAACTTAAAACATAATTCAAAGAGTAATATAGAATTAGAGATGATGAGCAAAAGGCCTTTATGGAGTATTTGAAGCATATGTGATCAGAAAATCAATCGCACGCGAAAGAGTTCATGTAGGGAAGAAATTGTTCCACAAATTGGCGATCGAAGGGAACTGCCAAGTCTACGAGACCAAGAAGGAAAGGAGAATCTATATCGCTAACAAGAAGTTTATGAGTGAGGGTGATGATAGAACTATTATTTTAGTCTCGATTTATGAGGAGTCGAGTGGGTCTCAATTTAGACTCCGAAAAGCAAATGGTAGATTCAAATAACATTTGTTGTTCATTGTATTGTGGGCTCCATACACCAGAGCAATATTCCCAGATCAGGCGAACTAATATGTACATTCATTTAGTAGTGTACCGATCGTCAAATTTTTTCGACCAGCTTTTAATAAAATCTAGAAGTCATCTTAAAATATAATTTATTATCAAAACGAACACCAATATCCTTGACTGTAGCTATTCATCTTTAAAAAAATGCCCAAGAGTATAGGGAGTAAAATGGGAAGCAGAGCTCTGGAAGGTCATAGAATTGCATTTAGAAGGATTAAGCGACAGAAGATTATTAGAACAAGATGCAATAAGATGCAACTCATTTACTTCAGATGGAAGATGCAGATGTGAGGATTGTTTAGAGTACGACAAAAAAAAAAACCTTTTTCCATCGTCAGCATACATCAATACAGTTAAAAAGGACAAGACATTTATACAACTTAATAAGAATTCGACAAATTTAATGTTAAGCTACAACCAACTTGTTCACGATTTACTTTTAAAATAACACACATTCTTATGTAATTATATAGTGAAAAACAGAGCCATGGTACTTTAATTTCTATTGTGAATAATCCTTTATATAATATATATCATTAACCAATGGCATTAAACAAATACAGTCAATATTATGCAATTCTGTGGCAAGATTTACAACCAAACAATCTTGGAGCGGGTCTCCTCAACTTACACATTAGTTGAAGTCATTGTTCAATGCCAACGCTTCGTAGTGTGGCAAAAACAAATTTCGAGCGGCAGAGATAAATGTTAAAATTATGCATAATTATTCATAAACATAGCAACAATACTCGTTACTTGGTGCCCGCATCAACGACGCGTCGTTCCTTGCCCCCCATCTTGTTTAGTAGGTTGTAAATTTTAATGCAAAAGCAGCGGAAAATTTTTTGTGTGATTTATTGTGTGAGCATGGCATGTGAAGGGGCATGCATTATGTATACAAAACAGACACGTGGCAGCCACAACCCTCAGCTCGAGTAGTGGACAACAGACGAGTAGCAATGCCGGCAGCTACCAAAAAGCCCACAGGAAGCAACGCCTGAAGCTCCTAAGCACCAGCCTCAGCTCCAGTCCCGGCCACGGGCACAGACACCACACCTGTTGCCTAAGCAAATGGGCCAGTGTAGAGTCGGTTGTGAAAATTTATGACCTACTACGTGAGGTCTAAACAATTTTTGCGTGGTTTGGTATATAATTTATTTTTAATATAGACAGCAACTCTGCACCATTACGAAGGGCCAAGCGAATGAAACAGCGAATGTTGCAGCTTCCTTCTCTTCCCTTCTCCTTTATTTTTTTTTTCTTCTTTCGAATATAATTCTTATACTTTACTTGACTTTTGTTCGCCGCATAAATTTTGTAGCAATGGGAAATGCGTTGCATTGAAAAGCCCCACACACACAGCACAATTCGCACGAATGCATAACAGACGGTGTTGAGTGGATTACTGGGCCGAGCTAGTTCCAACTCGAGGCTATTTACAAAGTTTGGAGAAAGGGGTAATAATTGTAATTTTTTTTATAGTGAAACTTCTCATATGGATGCTGGACTGGCAACCTTTTCGGTGACGAAACCAATGGCACGATAACAGGCGAGCATAAGTGAGGAGAAATTAAACAAAGTGGTAGAGAATTAAAATGTGTTTGTAAACAAACAGCAGCTGTAATTTGAATCCTAGCGGAGCATTTGGGAATGTAAGCAAACTGCATTTCATATGTAAACAAAAATTAGATATTATCTGGAATCTGAAACAATCTTGGTGCTTTGCTATTCTAGTGGACTTTCTAGATATTTTCTGGCGGATTTTTGACGGATTATTAAACTTTTCTCTAACTACTTATAATTGTTTTTTTTTACCATTTTCTATTGGGTTTTCTAGCCATTTTGTATTGTTTTTTTTTTATGAAAAATTATAAATTTAATATTTGCAATCTCTTTTTTTAAAGCAAACAGATTAAATAACAGTAATGTTTTATCAACTATCTGTGAAATTCTAATACTAATAGCAATGGGTTAGATTGTTCCATCTAAATAACTAGTGCTCAGTACCTAAATGGAACCTACATGGTAATCCTGAAAAGTCATTTGCTTATAAGAATTGTTTTCAAGAGATTTGTGAATTTTTTTGTTGCCTTATATCTAGAGCTAGAAAGAACTGATTCACAGCACAACGCTGGTTAGACTTGGATAAAAGGGCAAAGGGAATTGGATGCAATTCCATTGTTATCAGGCATTCAATTATGTAAACGCTTTGCATTTAAAATGTCATTATCAATGATGACGATGACGCGGCAGCTGCTACAGCGCAGGGAGCATTGTGGGTTGTATTTGGTATCCGAGGCATGCATCTACAAGTATATGTGAGTGAATGTAGGACTGAAAGTGTATGTGTAAGTGTGTGTGTCTGTTGGTTAGTGAGTGTGCATTTCCTTGAAATTGCTGCTG